TCGGAGGAACAAATGGTGTCAATGCCCGCACATTACGTGCGTAGCGCACACGGGATTTTCTAGTAACCACAGCTTGGACCACTGGCTTGTCTGTTGGCAACGCCTCTTAACGGATAAACAAAGTCGAAATCCCGGCGTTGCGTGATGGTATGACCGCAAGCTTACGATGCGTGTCGCGCATTGGTAGACTGGATAAAGAGTCAATGCCCAAGCCTAAGAGTAGCGTTCATGATGGCTGCGCCGGTGGCAGATCGTATTACGGAGAAAGGAAATGGCTCCGTGTCGGATTTTCGGGCATGAGAGTTGGGGGCGGGCAACATGGTGATTTGGTTGCAGGTGAGAAGTGAGAGGACTTCGGGCGCTCCCGAGAAATGCACGGGCTAGGTAGGTTTGCCGGACTTTTGCCGCGTAACGTGAATCTTCCGGGCAACGTCGCGCATCACAGCAGGACTGGCACCAAACTGCGCGACAACACACCAACGCTTTCGAAAATGGCGTCGCAGCTCCTGCCTCTGGGTAAGTTTCACCCGAAAAGTCTGGATATGATATCTGACCGGGATTCTAGAATTGATCGACAAGTGCGTCGGGTCCAAGATATGGGTGGTCATGAAGGGCGACAAGGGTAAGGCCGTCCCATGTCTGTACACGCAGAATCGCTTGCCAACTGACCTTGTTCTTAGAGTTCAGCGGAACTCTGCTCGGATTCGATGACTACGTCAGTAAGTACACTGACACGCAATCTCTCTCCATCATGGGATTTTGGCTCACCGCGCTTTCAGATATGGTTCTGGAGGATGTCACTGAATTGTCAGTTTGTAATGGCTTGTCAGACCAATAGAAATACTGATATGTTCTTGCATAGCGATTACGCCGGCAACAAGACGAATCTCTCCAAGATTCTACTGAACGGCAACAACATCTGCATGGTATAGCATCCTCTTCACTCTATTTTGCCTTTGGCTAATTTCATGCAGTTAATTCCTGGTGGGGAGGGCCCGACTGGGGTTTAAATCTAAACGATTTCGTTTCAGACCACGTTTGTGGGGTTTGGAACCACACTCGGACTGCTGAGATGCCCAGTGCCAAGACCATTATGATCTATCAATACGGTCACACGATAGTCGTGGCATGAGCAGATGGGATGGCCTACCTATGCTGGTCTCGGAACTCATCATAGAAGACGGTCTTGTCTCTGCAACGTGGTCGGCGTCCTGGTAATGAATATCTGCCTGAAACAATACTCTGCCCTCGAGCAGGTACAACTAGATGAATTCAAAATAGCGTGTTATGCCGACACTGTTCTACTAGGGCTTTCCAATATGAAAGGCTCTTTCGAAAATCATTTGAACGGCTGCTATTGCGTCGGATCTTGGTTTGTGCTGGAGTTAGGAGTAGCTCTCGAGTTGACCTTACGAAGCGTGCTACTCAACCCAACTACCAATGTTCCAAGAGATGCAACGGCAGCAGTATCGTCAACATCTTTCATTTAAAATATCAATTACAAATGATCGAGATGACCGAAGCACGACCTTGTTTGCCCCTCTTCCGGCACAGATGTTTAAACTAACATGTGCTGTAGCAAAACAGAAGAAATGGGCAAGACGATATGTGGGCGACAAAAATTCGTCTTTCCGATAAAGAGGAGTCACCGGGAAGATTATATGTGAGCGTTCTGAAGTCCTTTTGACGATTTTGAGATATATATATCCGGCATGCTGTGTTTGTTGTGGTAGCGATAGGCAGTTACGTTTTCTTGGGTCACCGGCCAGCCGGCCACCCTGGTGTCCATGGGTACCTAGACGCGCTTTTTGTATTCGGCTACCCCACTTAGAAATGGCTCGTGCATTATTGCACCCAACCACAAAACTAGGTACCCTTCCGTCGGAAGCGTGGGAATCAAGCAGAAAATGTCAACGGCTATCAAAGCTTACTGCTTAATGTGACATCACAGTGGGGGTTAGCCGTTGGTTTATTGCCCGTTTCCGGCGATTCCCTCGCGGAGTTGGGGACGTTGCCGATGGCGGAGCCGGTCTCAACGCCGACGGCACTTCATGTGCACTTCATGTGCATTCCGTGGATAACGATATCCTCCACATCCAACACCCAGAGTGAAATTGCAGTGCAAAAACGATTTAAGGGAATGTCGGAAGCAATAGAAAATGGATCGTAGAGTGTTGGAAAAGTAAAGGCCAGTGAGGTGGTTATGTTTTGGGACTCGATATACTTTTGCTACAGTCACGCTCTCAGAAGGCAATGTCACGCAGCTTGTTCGGTGGTCTGAAGTGAGCCCGAGAGACAAGGCGCCCAACTAGATGCTGAGCTTGGACTTTGTGACCCAGACCCATAATCAATGGATAAAGGAGACACGGAGGCAGAAACCCGTCGCTTCTTCTCGGCTCTGGGACAACAAGGAGAAGAGGAAGACGGCGAAGGAGCAAGTCGTAGTAGAGCAATATCCTTTGCCTGCGGAAACATGATGTTATTACTACTACTGCTACTATTACCACCACTATTACTGCAAATATTAACCAGCCGTCCTCGCAGCATATATGTATTCAAGACCAGACCTGACGACCGGATGACTGGAAGTCGCGCGTCGCATACGGTCATGATAGCGTGCAAGATAGAGAACAAGCTGGTTGTGAGGTGGTGTAAGCGAGGGTTGGCAATTATTGACCTCGACGTGCGGCCGAGAGGCTCAACCAGAACGCGGCCCGTTGAACTTTTTGACTCGGCAGGCGCCCATTGGCCCAGCGGGCATGGAGCTTCTCCGCACATCGTACGATGGATGGACAGCGTTTTCAGATAAGTTAATATTGTAGAAGGGAGGCCGGAGGAAGGGAGGCAACGATAATGAGCATTGCATACATTGCGATCGGCCGTGTGATAGGGTCGATTGGAGAGCGTGTCACCAGACTTGAAGCGGGAGGATTGCCCAGCTGGAGTACCAGTTCTGGACCCGAGCCCTGGGTTTGGGTGGATCGGCGATGGGCTTTTCGCCACCCTCGGACGCAGCTGGCAACTCGGGCGGCAAGCAATTGTCGTAGGGCTATTTGACGCCGCCACCCCCTGCGGGGGAAGGAAATCGCAAAAGAGGGCGGGCGTTGGATCTCGATTGGACGCGAGTCGCGCGCGCAAGGCTGGCGTCATGGTGTTTGCGGTGTGGTCCCCGAGCCCTCTCCAGGCATTCGATCGTCCCTCTGGAGTCGATGGGGGCGAGCAGTAGATCTTCTGGCTGCCGGCGCGTGCGCCCTCCCGCCCAGGAACCCACGCGCTCCCGCACCGCCCCGTCAACCATTTTTTCCCTCGTCTGTGTGCGCCTGCCATGGTCTAGCTCCCAGGTCCTCGACGTCTTCGACGTGTCAGGCTAACGGCCGCCGCCTCGGAGTAGGCAACTACCGACTGTCCTGTGCGACGTCTCGTCGACATCTCATCATCCTTTTGTATTCGCCAATGCCTGTCCTTGCCACGCCCGAGGATTGACCTGGTCCCGTCTTCTCGACCTACCTGCTGCGACAACACCAGACAACCCTCCCCATGGCCCTGGTTTTTTGTTGACCTCGAGCGCCCACCAGAGCGTTTTTTCCCGTTTGGTGTCCTGTCGCCTGGTCCAAGCCACGCTTGCCGACACTCCCTTACCACCTCCGCAAGAGTCGAGACCCTCGACGCGCCCGCGTCGCGTGGAAGGTTGGCTGCTAGTCCTTTGACCTTCCAAACGCCCCGCCCGCCCTAGGGCTCATCCCCATCTAAGGCTCGGGTCTTGCCGTGGATGAGCGTCTCGACAAGACCCAGAGACCTCATTGTTTCCCATAGCCCCTTCACTGCTTCTTCATGACCGAATTGAGGGCAAGATTAGAGCAACTGGGCTTGTCGCAGTACTTCGAGACATTCGTCACCGAGGGTTTTGACACATGGGACACTCTTCTGGATATTCGGGAATCGGACTTGTAAGATGGACTCCTACTTTCTCATGTCGTGCCACTTACTTACACCCATGTCCGCAGAGATGCTCTCAAGGTCAAACTTGGTCATCGAAGGGTATGTCTTGCGTCTTCCCGTTCCCCACGCCCTTCTCCATCGTAATCTTCTTGCCCGCTGACTTCTGCCCCCTAGAAGCTTCAACGCGCCATTGCAGAAAGCCGAGGCGTGCCCCTAGAGCGCTTGGATCGCGCGTTCCCGCAATTCCACTTCTCTCACAGCGCAGACGGATCCAATCGAAGCGATGATTCGGCTTCCGAGTCAAGAAACTTCAAGAGAAGCGAGCCTCCAGTTCCCGGCGCAAAACGCAAATATCGTCGTCACCCAAAGGTAGGATAGTGAATTCCGTCGACCGGAGACCTTTGGCGTAGATATATTACTGATAAAGGTGTACTGACTTGATTCGCGCAGGCAGACGAGAATGCGCCCGAAAGGCCCGCTTCAGCTTATGTTATCTTTTCGAATCGTGAGTTGATTACCAACCTGACGCATATCTGTCAAGTATGCTGACCACATTCCACAGAGATGCGGGAGATGCTAAAGGGTCAAGAGCTTAGTTTCACGGAGATCGCCAAGTTGGTTGGAGAACGTTGGCAAACATTGTCCCCACGTTCGCGAGAAGCGTGCGAACGTGAAGCAGCTGCCGCCAAAGAGAAGTATTATGCAGAGCTTGCGGATTACAAAAGGACGCCCGAATACGCCCGCTATCAACAATATCTGGCCGATTTTAAAGCAAAGCACAGCCAACCGCAAACGGGTGAATATCCGCAGTTTTTTCAAGACGGGTCGGCTTGCTGACAACACCATTAGACGGCAAACGTTCGAAAGTCGATCCAGAAACAAGCATCTCGGCACATGGTAGTTCCAACGACCTACTCGATAGCCAATCTCGAAGACATCCAAGTGACGCCCACCTCGCCCGAAAAGCTCCCCATCAGCGATCCGGATCCAGTCCTCCTCCAGGCCTATCTTCTCGTCCCGGCGGGCATATGTTCGCATCCGAGTCAATCTCTCCGGTCTATTCTTTTTCTGGAATCAGCTCCCCGAGGATTAGCGGCCAATATTCCCCAATGTCTGCGTCGCCAACATCAACACCCGTAGCCGACCCCTCCCATACGTACGGAGCAGGGCTGCCAGCCCCCGGGAGAGAGCGACATCAAGATCCAGCGCACCAGTCACCATTAAGTTATGGATTGGCTCAATCCACCCCTCTATCAGTGGCATCTCCTTCAATGTTGCACAATGGACAGGCCCAGGTTGACCGCGATTTTCCCCGTGATTTTCCTCGGCGGGTTCATCGTGAATCTTCCTCACTTCCCTCTTTGGTCCATGAAGATACCACCGCCACCACAGCCACGAATTTGTCCACGGAAAGTTCAGGATATCCTGGCGGACAGGGCGCTCCCCCGTTCACTGGGCACATTTTACCACTTGTGGACACGCAGAAAGCGCATCGGTTGTTACCACAGCCGATACCTTCTCACAACATAGCGCCATCACCTCTAGATCAACGACCTGGCCCGCCATCAAATTTTCCACAGCCGCAGCCGCAGGATACGCGACAGGCGTCTTCTTTGGCAGTACTGTTACGAGCAGGGGAGCTGGCTCGCGAAGCCGATGAACCGTCCAACGGCAGAGATAGTACGTCCTAGCTCTGTGGCTGTTCGGTAACATCACTACAACGAGTCCTCGCAAACTTTATTTTGTCCATCTCACAAGGCATCTAGAAACACTCCCCAAATTATCCCCCAGTTTTATCCATCCACTCATCTCCAAGGTCACTAGCTCGTGGCTTTTTAGTTTTCCGATTACAGCACAAGTTTCATTATGCCATGCGGCGGCTTAGGCTGAAGCGGCAGCGCCTCTACTCGGCAGGGCGCCCAAGCGGAGGCATCTCCAAGTCTTTTTTAGTACTACATAAGCCAGCTCTAGGCAGAGCAGAATCAACCAGGTATTTTGGTTTTCGCCCCACAAAGGCTATTACCATGCAAAGCCGTCTCCGCAAGGGGTGGCGGCGATTTCGATCCGAGCGTCCCCGACACGGGGGCGCTCCAGTATCGGGATCGCATATTGCGTGACGGGCGGCTCGGTGTTCTAGATTCAAGAGTCGTAAGCGTTGCTGGTCTGGCTCACGATGGGCACCAGTAGCGTCCAAATCCAGAGCATGCGAGCGGCTCGCACGGCACAAGGACAAAGCTTGCACACGCATCGCAGGCAGAGCACAGATGCATCTACTCCGGCCATTGGCAGGAGCGTATGCAAGGCGTCCAGAGGGAAGTTTCTTTTTCTTTTTTGCTTAGGCAAAACTTCTGAATTTAGTAGGCGGATTGCAAGCGAGGCGGGGATTTACTTAAGGCGTGCTAGCGAGTACGACGGAAGGTTTAGATTTGAATAGAATGTACAGTAGAAAAGGGTCCACGGACACGCTCAGGTCACCGGCGGGATAAGCGTGCATTAGCTGCCGTTGCGGCTGGCACCGTCGACCATCTGAGGCGGGCGAGATCATTTGGGCACGGTCGGTGTGGGTTGATTCTGATCAGCAATGTCCCGGCACGGGCCCCAAAGCCGACTCGGCCGCCGTCACCGGCTCCCCGATCCCAGTCGTGTTTGAACTTTGATGCCCATCCGAGCGCCAGGTGCGCGTGCACACGTGTGGCCGGGAAGATGGCTGGTTGCTGTCCACCTGGCACCGGTGGCGGGGTTGAGCCTCATTGTTATACACAGAACGCCTACTCGTACTAGGCAGATTTACAGTGGGATCTACCTACCAAGCTACCTACTTTTTACCTACTCTATGACATCAGCGAGCCATTGTCATGTTGCTGCTCTCCACGGCACGAGACGAGTCTCGCTTCGTCCCGCCAACGTGACTCTACTAACCATCTCGTACGCTTTTCCATTGCTCTCTCCCGCCAGCGCCCGCTCTTCGCCATGTCAAACGCGTCGCTAGGTCCGCTCGTCCGACTACGCACTCTCACCCCGGCAGACATCCCACCGCATCCAGCTATCAAGCCCGTGTCGGAACATGAGGTTGAGCTTTACTCTTTTCTGAAGAGCGTTCTCGACGAGGCCGTCGCCTTCACCGACTCGATCGTCCCGGCCACCTTCCGCGAAGGTGCCGCCAAAGCGTCCGCGCCCTCGTCCGCCAAGGTCAAGCTGCTGTCGCGCGACATCAAGGCCAGCGAGCTGCCCACTTCCGGCAGAAACGAATCATGGTTTGCACGGAGGAGCATACACAAGAATGAGAGGACTGGCGGCACGGCTGACATTGCCGAGTTCGACGAGGGCTTGAGAGATCAACATTCGAAACATGAGATGGAATACACACCGGACGTGTTTGACGCGCATAAGGTTGCCGACTGGGATGATTTAATCGCCGTGCGGGGCGGAGACGTGGAGGGTAGATACCGTGAAGTCAGCATGAGCGGTACGTACAGTGATCCTTCCGTGCAGGGAACCTGTGCCTACCGGCGTTTGCAAACGTATCCAAGCATAGGCCTGCGAAGCCCCGGCATGGTGTCAGATCTTTAAGCGTCCTTGGCTAATCAAGCACTAAATAGTCTACGAAATGTGCCACAAGCTCCCTTTCCCCTGTCTCAATCGCGTTTTCTGCGTTCTTGTCGTCACCGCCAAGACGGCTGAATCCTCCTTCGTAGTCGTCCAGATCCCAATTGATCTTTCTGACTTCTCAGACGCAGACGTATTGTACGGTAATGGACGCAACAAGCGCGACGCCGAGTCTGCTCTGAAGCGCAAGAAAGTCATTGTCGGAGAGTACGTTAGCATTGAGCGCGTCACTTTGACCGAGGATGGAGATATACAATGGGTCATGGCGACAGCAAGTGATGCGAAAGGCTGGTTGCCCATGCCGATGCAGAAGTTGGGTGTGCCTGGAGCCGTGGTCAAAGACGTAGGACTGTTCATGAAGTGGACGCGTGAAAGGAGAGGCTCTCAGAGTCAATGAGGAGCCATGAAAGGCCTGAGTAATGCGTGCGGTGAGGTTTTTGGCTCGAGGGGCGTTCTTTTCGCGGAGATACCACATTGTTTCGCAGGCTGATTGGGGGTTCTTCCGGTATCAAATAATTGCTGTCGTGTTCTATTGCTCTTGTGCCAGCTTATTGCCGGATCTGTCCCTGTAGATAACCGGCTCGCTCATCGATTGTGCCCCACTTGTTATAGCTTTGCTAGACTCACCGTTCCTCTCCATCTATATATAACTAGTGGTTCTTCAGCGCCTTCGCGTAGATCCCTGGCGGAGGCTTACGCTAACGACGACGGCAGCTGCGACCGCGCACACCAGTGGAAGAACACCTACACGCGCTGGCAGCTGCCTGAACAGTTTCAAACTTATCGCCGTATTTCCGTTCCTCGTTTTCCATTCGCGCCTCTCTCTTTCTCTCTCTTTCTCTTAGTTTTGTTGAGCGTCACCAGCCCTAACACCTAGACTCACAAGGCGGGGCTTGCATATGAATCTCAGCTGAACCTTGGCAGTCCAGCCTTGTGACCGAGTCGTGAGCAACGCTGTACGAGACATACAAGAGAAGATGATGCCGCAATCCTACGACAGCAGCCAAGCTCCATATCAGCAATCTATCAACATGTACTCAGGACAACCCCAACCAGAGCCAGCCCCGGCTTACGATGGTACGTCGTCAAGACGGAACTAAGCACATCTACAAGGCGATATAAATGACCATCAAACAGCCCATAATCAATCATCGGGCCCGTATAGACCTGGGCAGCCCTGGGATTCTCTCATGCAGCAACAACAACAACAGCAGCAGCAGCAACAGCACAATTCTGTGCCTAGCTACAACCCAAGCACTTACGGCCCAATGCCAGTGTATCAACAAAACGTGCCTCCGCCTTTGGTAAACAACACCTATTTTTCGATGAACACATATACGTTGCTTGCAAGTTAATGCTTGCTGACTCCGGTAGCCTCCGAGGCCTGCTGTGAACAGTAGTCCTGCAATCAACTATGCCTCACAGCCGACCACATCATTATACCAGAGCACAAATCCCTCTTTTCAGCATTCTTGGATTCAGCCTGGGTCGAGCTCTAATCCAAACCCAACACAGCCACAAGGGAGTATGTACTCACCACAAACTTCGTCAGCAGTGTATCCCACCTTTCCAGCCGCACAGGAAGCATATAGCATGGCTGCACCGTCTCCGCTTCACCAAGCTTCTGGAAGCCCCTTCATCCCTTCAGCTGGTGTTAGTCCTGGTCCGAATCAAGCACAACCTGGGTCCGGCCCATCGCCTTTTTCGCTGCAGGGAGAAGCATCCCATATGCAGACTAACACTAACCTTCTGCCCAACACATATGCTCCGCCTCCCCCAGATTGGTCATATTGGCCAGGGGCACAAGGATCACAAACCAGTGATATAAATGACCATCAAGAATATGCTTCGCAATCAGTAGCAGGCCAAAACTATGGCAATGCAGCATCCGGTTTCTCACAAGCATCACTACCACTACCACCACCGCCTCCGCTGCCGCCAATTTCACAGCCATACAACTACTCCACACAAGATCCAAATCTAGACAAACAACCCCAAGGTGCCTATCATGGGAATGAAAGCATAGGTCCATCGTCCTCCGAATGGGATGAGCAACACACGGAGACACCGATTTCAGTTCAGAGCCAACCGTTCACTACCCAACAAGACTTCTCTGTCAGTCCTCCTGACAAGTCCTACTCGGCATCACCACTCCCAGGCTGGACAGAACCATACTCGAAAGAACAAGAGACCAAGACCACATCTTCGGCTTTTGATTCCAGCGCCGGCCCAACTGACTGGGAACGCTTTGAGTTACCCGCCGAGGACATCGACACCAAGACTAAAGAACCAGAAAAGAGGCCCGGTGCCGAGTCTTCTACAGTTATACATCCTCCAGACTGTGTCGAACTCCCCGCGTACAGCCCATCTCCGCCTTACAGTCCGTCTCCGCCTCATGTAGCAAAGCACGAGCACAAGCATACCACCATTTCCTTGGAGAACCAATGGCCTAGGTCCCTTGCACCTGCTCCACTCCATGTGCGTCTTTCCGATATTGATAATAAAGCCCGGGAAGCGTCCGCAGATGTGCATGATCTGCCAGCTCAAGACATTAGTGCTGAGCTCAACGCTGCCCTCGCATCCTTCTCTGTGGAAGAGGAAAATGATGTAGACGACACATCAATTATGGATGATCTCGTTGAAGCTAAAACTCCACTCCAAGGTCGACCTATCCCAAAAGGCGAACGGCATCCTGACGGTTTCCCCCTAGAAGACGATTACGACAGGGAACATGCGGATACTTCCAATCCACGCCAACCTTCAACTGTAACGAATGAGCATCTGAACGCGCTAGGCATAAAAAATGCGACTCTGTTGCACTCCGAAGTGCCACAACCTCGAGACATCATTTCAGATCTCAACCCTTGGTATGCTGATTCTTTGGAGCGCTACGTAGCAATGCTACGTGCTGAAGCTGCTGCAACTTCCGTTGAGGATAAGATGGAAACTTTCAAAAGTTTTGTCACAACCGAAGCTCACCTACGGGGCATCGACTGTCAACAGATAAGGTGTCTCTCTTGTGTCCAAGAGCCAGAGGCCGGTTTGGACAAAGAAGAACGCAAATTATCAAGCAAATCAAAAGTACCATTGAGGATCATTGCGGATACGGGGAACCAATTTCAACTTCAGGATGAGGAGTATAGCCCTGGTGGCAGGCCTATCTTAAACAGAATGCGCACAGAGGAAAAGGATCCTGCCAGAGTCGACAATACTGCCAAAAACGAGGCTCAGACGCTCACCTCAGGAACAGGAACAGACATAAAGTTCCGGCCGTACAGGCACAGCATGACTGCAGCCGCGGGGCTACCAAAACTTAACCCAACTATTCCGGATGAAATCCGTGGCAGTGGTGAAGCACAAAAAGCCTACAAGCCGTTCTCGCCAACGGAAAGGTCTGTTGATACGGTTAGTCGAGTACCGTTTCCAAAGCGAAGTTCCATGTCATTCCCAATCAGTCCACCAGCAAAGCATCAACATGAAGAGGTCTTCTTCCCTGCGCCCTTGGTTCTGTCCCCCAAGCCGTCTTTATCTTCGAAACCTTCAGCCTTGACCTCATCCCCGGATTCAACCAAGAGCGCTTCGGCTGTGGAGGAACTGGCTAGGATTCTTCCAACTCATCCTGTAACGGACAATGCGGCGCCAAATCCACAGGTCACCGCCATCTCAGACCGTCTTAGTACTATGCCCGACCCAGGTTCTTACATTGCAAACCTTACGATTGGGTTCGACGCTTGGACACCAGTAACTCGTGGCACCTCTGACGCTTTCGATACTGCAGCAGCGCAACGAGCCGAGTTCGAGCGCTATACGGCTGAAGTTTTCGAGCCTGGATATTCGAAACTACGACAGGAGATTGAGATTGGCAACGAATTAATAGAAAAACTCGAGCGCTTGGCCGATAGGCACGCCGCACTCGGAACAGCAATGGTGGTGGAAGCGGCAGCGGCAACGGCCTCACTAGCCGATCGAGACAGCAAGGCTAGACCCCTGCCTCCGCTAACACTATCAGCTTGCGTTCGTGCGCTGTTAGACGTATACCAGTTTCTGGAGCGGCGGCACCAACTGACGACGGAGATTGAACGGAATAGGTATACTCGCTACAACATAGACCAAGACGCACAATCCCCATTCCAGACGCAGCCCAAAACAGATGTTCAGCTCGCAGAAGACAAAGTGCAACGCACACGCCGCATCTGGGGGCTCGTTGACAAATGGACCATCCGTGGCATCGACGGTGCGCAAGCAGCAACAACGTCAATAACGACGCAGACGCAGAGCCTCTTACAACAGCAACCAGCCTCTGACCACGACCGCGCCCGTATCCAAGACCTCGCGCGCCTTGCCCTCGCCACCGTACGCGCCCTAGCCGCCGAATCCACAGCCCTTGTCCACGGGTTCCATGCCGCGGAGCTGGCGCTCAACGGGGCAGAGTACGCGCACTCGACCGCAGCGGCGCGGGCGGCCGGCGCGCCGGAGGCGGTGTTTAGGCGGTTGGCGGAGGAGAAGGGGCGGGAGGAGCGGAGGCTGAGAGAGGAGAAGGAGCGGAGGCTTGGAGAAGTGGATGGTGGGAGGGAGGTTTTGGAGGGGTTGTTGGAGGAGGGGGTGCTTGAGGGGGTTGGGGTGGATGATGCGGTGGTGGAGGTGGAGGTAGAGGGGGAGGCGGCGGCGAGGGCGAGGTCGTTGAGGGAGAGGAAGGAGCGAGGTTGAATGGAGGTGGTTGTGGTGGGTTGGGGTAGATTGTGCTTGCTTCTTGTTTGTTTGTTTGTTTGTTTGTTTGTTTGTTTGTTTGTGGGGTTGAAGTATTTTGGGAATATCTTGGTTGGATTCGATTATGGATATGGATATGACTTATGAATGTGTTTTACGTATTCACTCCTGAGAGCTGATAATTATCATACGCGGATGAAGATCACCTCGACCCCGGATATTTTACCAACTCCTTAACTACTACTATGTAAACTCTACTAAACCTACAAAGTTGGAAGTACTCTTCAGGCAGGTATAACAAAACTTTATACCCCGGCTTATAATAATAACAGTTAAGTAACTATGACGAAAAGTGAAAAGATAGTAGGTATATAAACACTCAAGTAGATAAAAAGGCACAGCATATATGTAAGTACAAGTACCAATACTCAAGCACTTAAATAAATATAAGAGGGCAATGAATGATATCACGACTGTACTACCTTATCTCTATACTATACTCCACGAAGCCACCGACACCAAAACCAAAACCCTATAATCATAACGGCATTTCCATAAGAATCCAGCTAGCTATCAAATAGACACCCCCTTATACCGCTATGCCTCTATATACCTCTATATATAGATAGATAAAGAGCAAGTCCCTCCCAATATCCAATATCCATTATCCATTATCGTTTACACTTATAGTAATTAATAGTAAGAAAAAAGGTAATTAGCTAGTATTATTAGACTGCGGAGTTATGTTATATAGTTTAGGTTGGTTAGTGTTAGTGTTTAGCCCTGTCTCTTCCTGTCTTCCTCCCACGCGCGCGCGCGCTCTAGACCACCACCACTACTACTGCCCTATCTATTTACTTACGTACAGGCATACATGCATACATGAAAATCGGAAACGAGGGTGAGTGAGGAGGGGGGGAAGGAAAAGGAAAAGGAAATACATGCTCGTGCCGCTGGCCATCCATCGATCCGTCATCTGTCGTCCATCGTCCATTGTCCATACCCATCCGCGTCGTCGTCAATGAGCCCCTGCTCCTCTCCTCTCATCTCATCCCATCCCATCCCAACCCAACCCATCAACCTCATCGCACAAAAAAAATCATCACACATAACCACAACCAATACCTACGGCCTGCAGCCTACGGTCTCCAAAAGCGCCACCCCTCCCTAACGCCCCCGTCGCCCTGCCCCTCAGGCAACGCCGCACTGACGCCCACCAGCCGCTCGATGCCGCCGTTGCCCTCGGCGCGCAGGAACTTCTCCTGGTCAATCTCCTCGCCGCCCTCCTCGCCCGACGCGTTCTGCAGCACCGCCGGCCACAGCACGCCCACGCCGTCGCCCGCCAGCGTCGTCTCGAACTTCTCGAACCCTTCGGCCTCGAGCCGCTTCTCCAGGTCGACGAGGATGGGCGATTTGGCTGCTGGCGCTGCGGGCTCTGCTGGCGCTGGTACCGCGAGTGTGTCCGCGGGCGCGTCCGTGCCGTTCGTCGTGCCATTGGTGCCGTTGACGCCGTTCTCGGCAGGAGGCGCCGCCGCCGACACGCTGTTGTGCCGCGACATGGGCGGGCGGCCCGAGGCCTCGGGCCTGAGGATGGTGATGGCGCAGCCGCCGCCGCCGGCGCCCGTCAGCTTTGTCCAGCCGATGCCGGCATGGTCGATGAGGGCGCGGATGCGCTCGAGCTTGGGGTGCGAGACGCCGAGCGAGACGAGCAGGCCGTGGTTGACGGTGATGAGCTCGCCGAGGTGCTTGAGCGCGGCGGGGTCATCCGGGCGGAAGTCGGAGCGCGTGATGAGCTCATGCGCCGACTCCGTCACGTCGTTGATGGCGTCGAGCAGCCGCTCCGTGAGCTTGGGGTGCGCCTTCTTGAGCGCGCCCACCTTGGCCACCTCTGTCGCCGTGCTGCGCGACTGCCGCGTGTTCACCAGCAGCAGCGGCAGCTCGGGGAAGTCGCGCAGCGGCGTCACCGTCGGCGACTGCCCGAAGCCCTGCCGCTGGAAAAGTACAGCCTTGCCGCCCGCTGACACTGTGTTGTCGACACCCGATGGGTTGCCGTGTATGCACATCTCGCCCACAAACGCCCACCGGTTGATGCGCTCAATTTGTGTCTCCGACTCCTGTGACGGCTGATCCGGGTGTGGCCCGCTCAGCGCGCGGATTTGGAGCAGGAGCGCCGCCGACAGGCAGACGGCTATGCTGGCGCTGCTGCCTAGACCCGCGCCAATGGGTATCGTGGAGCGCAGCGTGTACACGCAAGGCGACGACTTGGGCGAGCCGAGAGAGCAAAAGAGGTAGAGGAAGGCGGAGGCGGAGGCTTGGTGGATCTTGCGAATGTGCTCCGGCTGGTCGTCCGAGACGGCCTTTACGTGCGGCTGGAGAGCCTCGACGAGATCGGGGTCGAGGGCGTCGACAAGGTCGTAGTAGTACTTCTTCTTGCCAGGGGCAGAGAAGGCGGCCCATGGCAGATCGTCCATGTTCCACGTATGCGTGAGGTCGACGTCGGGGAAGCGAAGGGAGACGGTGCGGCGCGACTTTGAGAGGAAGGTGACGAGGAGGTACGAGCGCAGGGAAATGGCCGCAGCGATGGCCGCCTAGACGCGGGTTAGACTTGGACGTGGGACTGGGAGCGGGAGTCGTGCCTTGCCGTAGACTACAGCGTGTTCGCCATAGACAATGACTTTGCCTGGGGCAGAAACCATGAAAGGAGGCATCAGAGGGGCAGAGTTCTTGCGCTGCATGGCGGGCCTAGAGGTGCCATTGACGGTAAGAGTGTCGGAGGTGGCACCGTCCATTTGGCTGTTGGTAGGAGAGTTTGGGGTGAGGATGTCGGTGGTGTTGGTGGACGAGGTGTCGGTGGTGCTGGCGATGGAGGGACTCCTTTCGGTAGCAGGCAGGGCAGTGGGACTCTGCTCTTCCATGCCTCTCGGGGAAGATGTCAGAGGGATAAAGACACAGCAGCGAAACGGGTCAGCCGGAGTCGGAGGGAGGCAGTTGTTGTGGTGTGGGTGGGGCGTGGACAGAGAGTAGCAAATGCTGAATGAGAGAGCTGTGCTGACAACGGGGCACTAACGACTCGTTGGGCCAGGGAAAATCTGGGGTTGCATGATGTCGCCAGGAACCCCGATCGGCAAACAGCCAAGCTCAGGAACAGGCACCGCCGCGCTTAAATGCTCTGTTCGCCCTTTGGTACTCGACTAACTCTATCTCTATCTCAATGGCAACGTTGTGAAGAAAAAACAAAAATAAACATTTCTTCGGCCAGGCTGCTGCTGCGGCATGGCTTACCGATGCAATCCTAATCCTTCAGCCCCCTTGGCGGCTGCAATTGTTATATATGCCAATACCATTGGCGAAGCAGGGCTTAGTTATCAACCCGTAAGCACACCGTTGACGCAAGATGAGCGTTCACCTGCAGCCACATCTCAGGCTGTTCAGCCCTCAGGCCCCCGACCAACGGAGCCCTCCCCGGACCGTCCGTCACGTGCCATAGAGCTTGAGCTCTGACATCTCTCTCTTCCATTTCCTTCCCCCGACCTGACTGTACTCGCTCCCCGCCGCAGCAGCCATGGCCTCGTTCAGGATCCCCGCCCTCCGCCACCTGGTCAGCCGGCCATTGACCGCCCCGCGCATCGCCCACCGCCGCTGGGCCGCCGTGCACGACGTGCGCTTCCTCGCCACCCACGGCGCCCAGGACCGCGTGCTGGCCAAGTACAAGGAAAAGCTGAACCGCAAAGCCCAAGAGTACGTGACTGACTGACGGGGCCGACCGCGCCGAGTCCCTCGCAATGCTGACGACCCCCCGCGCCGCATAGAGAGGGCCTCAAGGACGTCGGCGAGCTCAAGGAAGCCTACAAGGAAAAGATCACGCAGCTGCGCAAGGAAGCCACGGTGCCCGGCGCCAACGCGCCGCTAGAAGCCCAAGACGCGCCCACGACGGCCAACGCGTTCAACCCGCCGCCGCCACCGTCTCCCACCGGGACGGCGATCCCCACGCAAGACGGCGAAAAGGCGCCGCCGGGCGTCAAGACGCTGGCGTCGTTCCTCGACGTGCCCAAGACGCAGCAGCTGCCTGCAAAGGAAATCGAGTACATCTGGCGGCTGCGGCACGCGCAGAACCCGCAGTCGCTGTGCGCGACGCTGCCGGCGAACACCTGGAGCACCATCGCACGCGCCGCGCGCCAGCACCCGCAGTTTGTGCTGCCGCTGCCGCGCGAGGCCCAGGGCGCCGAGCTGCACTTCCTGCAGTGGACGTTCCCGACGGCCGCGCAGGCCACCGTCCTCTTCACCTCGCTGGCCGAGTACAAGCTGCGCGCCGAGTTTAGCAGCCCCCATACCACCGTCACGTTCCATACGGACTTGGCGGGCGACAAGGACGTTGTCCTTGTCCAGGGCGAGGTCGTCCCTGATCGTGGCGTCGCCGTCGATCAGGCCAAGTGGCTGCTCATGTGCTTGCAGAAGTTTTATGGCCTGCAGGCCGAGGAGCAGGGCGGTGCGCGCAGGCGCCTGCTCGAGATGTTCAGTAATGGCGATGCGGGGTTCAAGGTGGAGGAGTTGTTGGAGGAGGCGGAGAAGATCTAGGCGCGAGCAAGGATGGAAATATACCTATGGGCGTTGAGGCGGGTAGACGATATTATGTACAGGGGCTCACACCGGTACGTGTAGATAGGTAAGTCGGCATGCAGTGAGAAAAGTTTAATGGCAGTCAATTCCAGATCAATCCCAACTAACGGCATTAAAAGACCTCCATACGAAGAAACCAACGTAACACGTCAACATTCATATACACATACCCCTCAATAAGGAAACGACCGTACCATTACCGCCCTCCCATTTTCCCTCCCTTTTCCCCCAGGAAATAAATAAAACCCCTGCCAAGAAACGCATCTCCAGCACTCACTCAACCTCTCCCCCAAACAAACAACCGAACTCAACCCAACCCACACTACAAAACAAACGCCATGCCCAGCCCCACCAACCCCAACACGCCCTCGCCAAGCGGCACGCCACCCATGCGCACAGCCGCGCCCTCGGTCCCACTCGCACTCGCACTAGCACTAGCACTAGAGCGGGACGCGGAGGCGTCGCTCGAGCTCGCGGCGGCCTCGCTCGAGCTCGCAGCAGCGGAGGAGCTCGAAGCAGCAGCGGAGCCCGTCGAGTTGCTGCCGGGGGTGCCGATGGGCGTGGCGAACGGCGTGCCGGGCGTGGGCGTCGTGATGCTGCCCGTCAGCGTGATGGCCCCGCCGCTGGTTGACGGGATCGACGTCTGGATCGTGAAGTCGGTCGCGTCGCCTGTGGCGGTGTCGGTGGCGGAGGAGACGGCGGATGAGACGGCGGAGGAGACGGCCGACGAGATCACCGACCCGATGTCCGAGGTTATGGTGCTTGAGGGGGTGGCGGCGGCGCCGGATTCCGGGATCGTCGCTGTGTCCGCGTCTTGGCGGGGGTGCAGCGGGACGGCGTTGCTCTGGTGTGCGTGTTAGTTTGGGTGTGTGCGTGTGTGTGTGTGTGGGTGGGTTGGGGTGAGGAGAGAAGTGAGTGGTGGTGGTGGTGATGCTTACGCCGAGAGCCGTGACCGTGAAGACGGCGGCGAGGATGAGCTGCGTGGCGTGCATTGTTGCGTGCTAGCTTGCAGGTGGATGTGTGTGGTGTGTGGTGGTGGTAGTGGTTGAAGAGGAGTGCTTGCTTTGCTGATTCCTCTGTTGCTCTTAAGTAGGCAGGTACCTCGATCTTTTTCGTAAGTACGAAGTACGAAGGTACGAAGGAGGAAGGAAGCAAGCCCGTCAGTCAAGCCAGTCAGCGCGAGCAACAAAAATAAAATATCACGAGACGACAGAGGTAGCCAACACACAAAGAACGAGCTCAGCAGCAGCAAATGACCAGCGCGTATATATATACCTGGGCCGGAGAAAGCGGCACGTCAGTGGTACACAGCAGCATGCCCATACATACCTCGTGTATCAGCGCGCGGACCGCCGGCCCCGGCCAGCCAGGCTGGGGTGTCGATGCGGGGCCGCGCGGCGTAGGCGCGGGCACCGCTACCGCGACCTGCTCGCTTGGGCAGCGATCGCCCGCCAGTCGTAAATGCCATGCCAGCCGGGAATGAGGCCATGAAACACATGCGGTTTAGGCGGAATGGCCCCGGAGATGGAGGGACTGGAGGGTGTTTCACCGTTGGGCGTGTTGGGTGGCGTGGCAGGTCGCGGTTGGGGGTTTGGCGTGGCGTGGTGTTGGCCACATTGGGAAGGAGGCGGGAGGCTTTGCTTTATTGCCTGTTGTTTTTTTGAATGTCATCCAACACATTCCTACCTACTTGGTACAGCTACAACGCCACCAGGTCTAGGTCTTGTACATACATGCGTACCTCTCTCTACTCCACCATCTTAAACTCGGCCTCGACCGCCTCCTCGCCCATCCCCCCCCCCCCCTCCCCCTCCCCCTCCCCCTCCCGCGGCATCCTCAGCTCGAGCTCGCCGAAGAAATTGGGCTCGTCGGCGACGCGCACAAAGCCCAGCCCCTCAAACAGGTGCAAGCTGCGCGCATTCTCGGCGCCAATCTTGACGCGCAGCACGGCGAGGCGCACGCCGCCCGGGCGCTGCTGTGGCAGCAGCGAGCCTGCGTACTCGGCCGCGATGGCGGCGCGCTGCTGCCGCACGTAGCCCAGGAATGCGGCCAGGATGGCCTTGCCGTACCCGCGGCCCTGGTGCGCGCGCGACGCCACCATGATCTCGACCTCGCCCACGAGGTCCACGGGCCGGGGCGCTGAGGCGGCCGCGTTCGCTGCTGCTTCCTCTTCTTCGTCGTCGGCGTCGAGGTAGAGGAAGAGGTTCACGTCGCCGATCATGGTGGCCGGCGTGTCGTCTTTGGTCCCTTTGATGATCTGCTGCTTCTCGGAAGGAGAGCCTGCGGGTGCGGTGCATGTGATGAAGGTGAGTTTGTCGGCGTCTTGCCGCCAGCTGCGCTGCATGCCGTATTCCTCGTCGATAGTCAGCGGCTCCGACGCCGTTGCTTGCTGGAGTTCCTGGAACCTTGTCAAACGTGTTTTTTTCCAGGGATCCCGGGACAGGGAAGCTACTTCATCTTTCATCCACTCGTGATATGTCAGGACATGATGGGTGCTGTAGGGGACGAGGAGCACCTTTGAGGTGAGCAGCGCTGATGTGCCGTTAGCAAGTTAGCGCCAGCTCGGCGCACTCAGCACTCAGCTACCCGTATGCTCATTTATCCTCATGACTGTGCAATGTTGATGTGGTGGAGAGGGAGGTCACGCCGGCAACGGCCGAAATGCCTAGTCACAATTTTCGTCTCACGCAAAATCTCGCCATTAAATCGGCATCGCCCTCTAAACACAGCGCATACCTAGTCCGACGCGCACATGTCGTTCGACGTTCCGGGTCGCGCAGCAGACGCCGTGAAGTGATTGATGATGTCGCGTCCCCGACGACCTCATCCTTGACCCGTGCTCCCACGCCCGTCTCCATGCCCGGCGAGCGCATCCTCATCACCGGCGGCGCGGGCTTCCTCGGCTCCACCGTCGTCGCCGCCTTCCTTGACCGGCACCCCGAGTTCCTGTACTCTGTGCTGGACTCCTCCGATGACGATGACAATGACAACGACGCAGCAGCAGTAGCCGCGCAGCCCCACGTCGAGTACCTGCGCGCCGACGTGCGGGACGCGGCGGCCGTGCTGGCCGCAGTGAGGCAGGCCGCGCCGACCGTGATTGTGCATACCGCGGGCGTGGTGCCTGTGGGCGCGGCGCGGTACAGCCAGCGGCGCTGCGATCGCGACGCCTTGTTTGCTGTTAATGTCGACGGCACGCGGCACGTGCTGGATGCGGCGCGGAGGTGCGGCGTCAAGGCTTTGGTGTACACGAGCAGTAGCACCGTCGTCACGGATGATGTTGAGCGTGATTTTCCGAACATGGACGAGGCGACGGCGCCGGTGGGCGGTGCTGGGTTGATTTATGGACAGTCTAAAGTATTTGCTTCTCTTTCTCTTTCTCTTTCTCTTTCTCTGTCTATTTCTCTTTACTCTCCTTCTCCTTCTCCTTCTCATTCCAACATCAATTGAACATCTCCGCCTAACAAAACCAACAGGCCGCAGCCGAAGCCCTCGTCCTCGCAGCCAACACGCCCACTCTCCTCACCCTCGCCCTGCGCCCCTCCGTCCTCTTCGGCCCCGGCGACACGCAGCTCCTGCCCGCGCTGCACGGCCTAATCCCATACAGCACGGCCATCACCCTCGGCGCAGGCAGCAACCTCTACGACTTCACCTACGTCGACAACGCGGCCCACGCACACGTCCTCGCCGTCGAGCACCTGCTGCAACTCCGCCCAACCCCAAGCCCAACCCCCAGCTCATCCCCCCCCTCCCTTCCCGCAGGCGCCGGCCACGCCTTCTTCGTCTCCAACGCCGCCCCCGTCCCCTTCCGCGCCTTCTGCCTCGCCGTCTGGGCCCGCTTCAACCACACGCCCGCCTTCTCGCTCGCGGTACCGGCGCCACTGGCGTACTTACTCGGCTGCGCCGCCGACGCTGCCGCCCGCGTCACTGGCGCAGAGTTCGCGCTCAGTGGCGGTGCCGTCGCCGACGCGCTGCGCGTAAGGTATGCGTGTGTCGAGCGGGCGCGCGAGGTGCTCGGGTATGCGCCGCTGGTGGGGCTGGAGGAGGGCGTACGGAGGGCTTGTGCGGTGAGTTGAATTTTGTTTGTTGGGGGTGAGTGGCTGGCTGATTCGGTGGTGCTAGGATTATGAGCGGCGGTTGGCGGCGGCGGGGGAAAAGAAGAAGGATTGAGGATGTTGGGGCCCTGCTGTACTGTCTTGTGCTGTGTGGACTGACTGGGTGCTTGCGATGGAAGGGCATGTCCGGCGACGTATAGGTATGCGTGCGTTGGTTGGCTGGGCGTGCTGAGACGTATACCACGGCTTGAAACGGGCTTTAATGGTTGGTTCTCACGCCGTGATTTGCGGCTGACGAGACGTCGTCGTCCGTGTCTCCTAGATTAACTGTCTCTACGCCTTGGCTGGCATTGACGATCTCTAAGCTCTGGGGAATGCGAAGTACGCGTATGTCTCTACGAGTACTCTCGTACAAATACCGTCGCATATTTTGCTTTTGTGTCCTCACAGAATACAATTACACCCCAATTTTTATATCTTCGTATACATACAAGACCTTACTCTCCTCGTTTTCAGTTAACCATGTTATTCATGCTCTAGAGATGCCGTCCAAAGCCGGCAGAGCTGGTATACAGAATTAAGTATACTAATAAAGGGAAACAACGTCCTGTTTCCGCAACACCATCCATCCACGCCTATATACTCCACTCCCGAAAACAAAACAAGCCAGTAAGCAAAACGCAACACCACGCTCCAAAACGTAAAACTCACCCACCCCCACCCCCACCCGCACCACCCGGCGTAGTGCCCCCGGACCCCAGCAACAAGTCCCCATGCCGCACAAAGCGCACCACCTCGCGCGGATCCGGCGTGCGCCTAATCCGGCCCAGGATCTCGCGCGCCTCGGCCGGCGCCCGCTCGCGCAGCAGCGCGTACAGCTCTTGCAACTGCTCCTTCTCCTCCCGCAACTGCTTACGCTCCTCCTTCCATTGCTCCCTCTCCACCATCCACTGCTCCCTCTCCTCTTTCAGCTGCCCACGTTCCGCCCGCAACTGCCCACACTCCGTCCGCAACTGCTCGCGCTCCCCTACCAGCGCCTCGCACCGCCGCTTCAGCGCCGCGGTGCGCGTCGTGCCCGCGTCGGCGATCTCGTACGCGCAGGCGCTGCCGCTGCCGCGCTGCAGGCAGTGCGTGCAGGCTGGGCGGCGGGCGTCGCACTGGTGGGGGGGTGGGGGATGTTAACACAGCTGCTGTGTTTGTGTGGGGGTTGTAGTAGGTGGAAGGGTTGGAGAGTGCCTTACTTACCTTGACTTTGCCGCGCTGGCAGCTGAGGCACGCGGCGTACACGAGCGTGGTGCGTGCTTTGCGCGGCTTCTGGGGCAGCGGCTGGTTGGCGCGCGAGGTCACGCCGTTGGATGTGGTGGTGGGTGTGGGTGTAGATGTGGGCTGTGGCATTGCGTCTCCTCCCGCATGCTTTTGCGGGAGGAGCGGTTTGCTGGCTTCCATTTGTTTGCGTGAGAACAAAAACGGGGGGTTTTTTTTTTCTTTTTTTTTTTTTTTTCTTTGTTCTTTAAAGTTTGTTTGCAATTGGGTGTACATGTGGTGCTCGAGTGGAACACCATGGCCGGCCCTTAATACCCGCTCGGTGGCGAATATACGGAGCCGGACCTTGCTCCGTTAGACTGACTGACCGCAGTGTCGCGTAAAGATGGCTCATATGTACGTAAAGTCGGGCACACGCACATATGCGTGCGCACCAATCACGCATGTCGACGCCAGAATGCGGTCCCAGTGGAATAATAGCATTCGTATCCCAGTCTGTCTTACGCCCGCTTTAAGCGCGTCACAATTATTTGTATGTCAATCTCTGGACTTTCGAGATCATTATGACGGGTGTCTCGTCGATCATATGCTAGTGCTTAATTAGGTAGCATTCAGTGTAGCTAAGCCGTGCAATCTTTCACTGATTATCTACGTCGCCCACAACCGCTATCATACATTCTAGCAACAACCAGTGGGCTGAAGGCTGTTTTCCAGTACCCTCTCACCCAATGGATGCCAGACACCCGCATGATATACCGTTCGTATGGGGATTCAGCAATATCCTTGAGCCAATGGCTCCTCGTTATGGTCGTAACATGAGTAAAAACAAAAAAGGCGCCTAGCATGCAGTATGAAACAACTGGAGAGGGAAAAGTTTATTTGCCCTTCTCGGTGCCTGAAGTGTTGTGTTAGCGCATGTTCTTAGTAAAATGAGCACACTTCGGTACAGCGGGCGACAAATGTCGTTCAAAACCGGGGAGCATTAGACTCGCGTCTACTATGTAAACTGCAATGGTGCTTGTTCACTGGGGAAGAAGTATTTACCGTAGTGTGCCTTATTCCAGTTTTTGTCAAAGGGACCCGGCTGATAAAGATGTCAGTATTACGACAGAAAAAGGAAAGGGCAGGAACAGAAAGTGGTCGTACCTCGCCTGGCCTTTGGGAGATGAGGTGTTCCTTGAAATGCTCAGAGTCGACACCTACAGCAGATCAGTACGCTAAATGCGTCATAAGACTGGGTTGAGAATAACAGCATACCAGTGCGCGCGCTCTGTTCAGCCCTGGACTCGGTGTCTTGCGGATCACCCCGCCTCGTTGCAGCAGCGGGCGTGTGCGTGGTAGAACCACCGCCAGCGGACCACCTATCGGCGATGTTCTTGGAGCCGGGGGTCTCGAAAACGTTGGAGCTGTTGCCGGAGAACTTGGGCACCAAGTAGAGGATGCCAACGGTGGCGCCGACGGCCATGACGGCCTTGCTCTTGAGGAAAGACATGGTAGTAGGAGTATGGGAGATGTGTAGGTGTTTATGGAGGATCAGAAGGTTGTTGTTGTTGGTGTGGGTGCAATTGAGAAGGAGGGAGATGATATGGCAGAGAAAGAGAAGGAGCCCGTCATATTTCTGGCAGCCGTCAGGCGCATGGCGAATATCTACTAGAGAATAGAGGACGTCATTAATACGCCGGAGTGATCGCTGGGATGGATGGTTAGCTCCTCCTGCAAGGGCCAGCGGATTAACGCGCCGCCGGTAGGGCTGAAATTGGGGCCCCGTACGCGCACGAGGAGCGTCGCATCCCAAACGTGTTCCCTCCGCATCATCTTCTTTCTCTCTCTCTGTGTCTCTGCATGTCGCTGTCGCGACTGACATATGTGGAGTCATGGCCGCCGACCCGGCTCAACCTGACGCGCCCGAGCTGGACTCGTTCAGCCTCGTCCTTCCCTTGCCGTATCGCGTGGCCCTGATCATAGTCCTCGGTTGGTCGTAAGCCACTCCAGCAGCACCCTGCGACATGCCGCTGACCTTTGTGCAGGCGTCTGGGCCTGGGGCGCTAATCTTCAATACCTCGCCCTCATCCGCATTGTCCGTCCCCGCTCCGTGCATCCGCCCATGCATTCGCTAACCCCGTCGTCTACAGGACGTGCCGTCTCTGATAAGATACCCGTCTCGCAGCTCGCCCACGCTGCCGCCGCACCATCTCTCGACCTACCGCCTGGCGACGCTCCTGTCGCTTCCGCTCGCCGCGTCGCTCCTCCTTTTCTGGCTCATCACCCATGGAGATGCCCAGGCCGTCGTTGACTGGGAGATTCTCCCTAATCTGTACCTCATCGTTCTGGTCTGCTGCATGGTCCTGCCATGGCATTCGGTCTCGCGCTCTGGCCGCTCCCGTTTCCTCTCCACCCTCAAGCGCATCAGTATCGGCGGCATAGCGGAGGCGCAGGACGGCAAGTTCGGAGACATCCTCATGGCCGACGCCATGACGTCGTATGCCAAAGTCCTGGGCGACTTGTTCGTCGCATTGTGCATGTTCTTCACCAGGAAGCACTCGACGGGGAGGCCAGACCGGAGCTGCGGAGGCGCATTCTGGGTGCCCTTCATCATCGCCATACCCAGTTTGATTCGGTTCCGCCAGTGCATCATCGAATACTTGCGCGTGCGGCGGAGCAACCAGCGCTCTGGCACCATCGGGAGCGCAGGCTGGGGCGGCCAACATCTCGCCAACGCCCTGAAGTACTCCAGCGCTTTCCCGGTCATCATCCTCAGCGCCATGCAGAGAGGCTACGAGCCGGGCAAGTTTGGGCTCAGCGAAGCCGGGCTCTTCAGGCTATGGCTGCTCGCCGTATTCCTCAACTCCTTTTACTCCTTCTACTGGGATGTGACCAAGGATTGGGATCTTACGCTGCTTTCGGGGCAGAGGGAGCGCAACAACCCCGAGCACCCGTGGGGCCTGAGGCGCAATCGTTATTTCCACACAAAGGAGATGTACTATGGCGCCATCATCATGGACCTGATGCTGCGGTGCACGTGGAGCTTCAAGCTCAGCCCGCATCTGGATCATTTCAACGATCTCGAGGGCGGCATTTTCCTTATGGAATTCCTGGAAGTGTTCCGGAGATGGATCTGGATTTTCTTCAGGGTTGAGACGGAATGGGGTAAGTTTCGCGCTCACGGGTTTCCCACGTGGTTTACTGACTCTTTTAATCGCAGTCCGTAACAACCGTGGCCCAGCCCCAGATGATATTTTACTGGCAGACCACAACGGCATTAAGTTGGACGAGGATTGATACCCGGAGGCTTCTGGTTACATCTAGTGGGATTTAGAATAGACGCGTGTGTACAAACATCAGTACAAAAAGGCCATAATGTAACATATAGTCGTATAATCACCTGTTCAGTTCAGCTTAGCCTGTCGCATGCGTCCCCACCAGCATCAAGCTCGCACATGAACCCCAGCGCACCACGGCTGTGGATCTCCATGGACGCGAGAACCCTACACAAGCCAAAGCAGGGCAGCATATGTAAAACGCTCTTCTGCCTCCAAAGTCGGCAAAGCTTTAACCCCATTATCAATGACGGCATTCTCTCACGGCGGCAGCGCGCTTCCCTCATTCGACTCGCAAACCGGCGGAAACATTTCCCGCGGAAATGTCTGCCGCGCCTAGTCTCTACGTTCAAACTTGCTGCGCCGGCCTTGCCTGTTGGGGAGGCGTGCAGAAAGCTTACCGCCAAGGCAAACGCGAAACCCGGCACACCGCGACTTCGCACTGGTGGGTTGCGAGGGAACTGGGGGAAAGAGAGGTGCACGATACCCTGCTTGCCTTGCGTGGATGGTGCGCGTGCTTAGTTAGTGCTTATGCGGCGCGGTACCCTACGAGTACGGCGGGCTGCTTCCGTTCGCATGACGAATGCGGCAGCTGGCTGGAGTGGAAGAAGCGGAAGTGACGGGGGGG